CTAATTATATGGACAACATGATGCGCGTGGCTCCTGCTACTGCAATGCTGCTCATTTGCTTTTCTATGATGTGACTTAGGATTGTTGGATCATCATAGGCAGCCTTTTTCATCGGAAGATTTTCTATTACTAATCTGAAGGTAGGCTCCTCCCACTATGGGGAACAAGTGTAGTTTGGGTGAGATCATGTTGGGATCGAACTGCGTTTTCAGTAGACCCAGGGACTGGGTCTACTAGAAATCACTGGCGAAATCACTATTTACTCACAGTACAAAGAGCACGAACTTTACTCACTCACAGTAAGCACACCATGAACACTACTCACTCACAGTACACAGACAACGAACACTATTCCATCACGGTACACTGACTTAGAACATTATTCACTCAGAGTACACAGACTGAACACTACTCACTTACAGTACTCAGACCATGAACACTATTCACACACAGTACACAGACCACGAACACTATTCACTCACAGTACACAGAGCACGAACACTATTAACTAACAGTAAACCGACCATGAACACTATTCTCTCACAGTACACAGACCATGAACACTATTTACTCACAATAAACAGACTACGAATACTATTCACTCACAGTACACAGAGGAAGAACACTATTCACTCACAGTACAGAGACCACAAAAGCTATTTACTCATAATACACAGACTATGTACACTTTATACTCACAATACACAGACCACGAACACTATTCACTCACAGTACACAGAGCACAAAAACTATTCCCTTACAGTACACAGACCACGAAAAATATTCACTCACAGTACATAGACCATGCACACTATTCATTCAGAGTACACACCCCACGAACACTATTTACTCACAAGACACAGACTACGAACACTATTCATTCACAGTACATCACAGAGCACGAACACTATTCACACACAGTACACAGACCATTAACACTATTCACTCACAGTACACAGACCATGAACACGATTCACTCAGAGTACACCCCCCCCCCATGAACACTATTTACTCACAGAGCACAGACTGCGTACGCTATTCACCTACAACACAAAGACAACAACACTATATTCACTCAAAGTGCATATGCAAAGAACACTATTTACTCACAATACACAGACTACGATTACTATTTACTCACAGTACACAGGGCATGAACACTCACAATTAACAGACCAAGAACACTATTTATTCACAGTACATAGATCAAAACACTATTCACTAACAGTACACAGACATGAAAATTATTTACTCTCAAGTCCCAGACCATGAACATTATTCACTCACAATACATAAAGCACGAACACTGTTCACTCACAGTATTCAGCTACTGAACACTATTCATTCACAGTACTCAGGCTATGAAAACTATATTCTCAGCGTACACATACCATGAACACTATTCATTCAGAGTACACTGACTATGAACACTATTCACTCACAGTACACCCCATGAACATTTTTTACTCACAGTACAGTCTACGAATGCTACTCACCCACAGTACAAAGACTATGAACACTATTCACTCAAAATACATATAAAAAGAACACTATTTACTAACAATACACAGATTACGGACACTATTCACTCACAGTTAACAGACCAAGAACAATATTCATTCACAGTACATAGATCAGAACATTATTCACTCACAGTACACAGACATGAGCATTATATGCCATAAACTTTATTCACTCACAATACATAAAACACGAACACTGTTCACTCATAGTACACAGATCATGAACACTATTCACTCACAATGTATAGATAATGAACACATTTCACTCACAGTACACAGACCATGAACACGATTCATTCACAGTACAAAGACAACGAAAACTATTCACTCACAGTACAAAGGCCATGAACACTATTCACTCAAAATAGAACACAGGACACAGACTATACTCCCAGTACACAAACGATGAACAATATTCGCTCACAACACACAGTCCTAGAACGCAATTTACTCACAGTACAAACAGAACGAACAAATTTCACTCACAGCAAGCAGATCAAGAACACTATTTACTCACAGTACACATATTGTAAACACTATTCACTCACAGCAAGCAGATCAAGAACACTATTTACTCACAGTACACATATTGTAAACACTATTCACTCACAATGCACAGACCAGGAACACGATTCATTCACAGTATACCGACAACGAACAGTTCACTCACAGTACACAGACCTTGAACACTCTTCACTCACAGTACACAGACCATGGACACTATTTACTCACAGTACACAGACCATTAACACTATTCACTAACAGTACAGAGGCCATGAACATTATTCACTCACGGTACTCATACCATGAACACTATTCACTCACAGTATTCTGCCACTGAACACTATTCACTCACAGAACACATTCCATGAACACTATTCACTCAGAGTGCACAGACTACGAACACTATTCACTCACAGTACACACCACCATCACTATTCACTCACAAAACACAGACTATGAATATTATTTACTCACATTACACATACTATGAACACTATTCACTCACAGCATTCAGACACCGAACACTATTCATTCACAGTACACAAGCTATAAAAACTACTCGCACACAGTACACAGACCATGAACATTATTCACTCACAGTACACAGACCATAAACACTTCTCACTCACAGTACAAAGAATAAAAATACTATTCACTCACAGTACAAATACCATGAACACTAATCACTCACAATACGTAGAGCACGAACACTATTCACACACATTACACAGTCCACGAACATTATTCACTCAGAATACATAGACTATGAACACTATTCACTCACAGTACACACCATGTACACTATTCACGCACAGTACACAGACCATGGACACTGTTTACTAATAGTACACAGACTACAAACACTATTCACTCACAGTACACAGAGCACGGACACTATTCATTCACAATACCCAGACCACGAACACTTTACTCAGAGTAAGCACAATACGAACACTATTTACTTACAGTACAAAGACCACGAACACTATTTACTCAGAGTAAATACAGTATGAACAAAATTTACATACAGAGCACAGAGCACGAACTTTATTCATTCACAGTACCCAGAGCACACAGTACACTATTCCCTCAAAGTACACAGACCATGATCACTATTCACACATAGTTCACAAACCATAAACAATATTCCCCTCACAGTACACAGACCACGAACACTATTTACTCACAGTTTACAGAGCACGGACACTATTCACTCACAGTACACAGACAACAAACACTTTTTTACTTACAGTATACAGACCATGAACACTATTCACTCTCAGTACACAGATCATGAACACTCTTTACTAACAGTACACAAGCCATGAAAACTATTCACTCTCAGTACACAGATCATGAACACTATTCACTCTCAGTACACAGATCATGAACACTCTTTACTAACAGTACAGAGGCCATGAACATTATTCACTCACAGTTATCCTACTGTGAACACTATTCACTCACAGTTAACCTACTGTGAACACTATTCTCTCACAGTATTCAGGCACTCAACACTATTCATTCACAGTACACAGGCCATAAAAACTATTCACTCACAATACACAGTCTATGAAAACTTTTCACTCAGAGTACACAGAGTATGAACAATATTCACTCACGGTACACACCACGAACGCTATTCTCTCACAAAACACAGACCATGAATACTATTTACTCACATAACACATACAATGAACACTATTCACTCACAGTATTCAGACATTGAACACTATTCATTCAGAGGAAACAGGCAATGAAAACTATTCACTCACAGTACACTTATCATGAACACTATTCCCTCAGAGTACACAGGCTATGAGCACTATTCACTCACAATACACACCACGAACACTATTCACTCACAATACACATCACGAACACTATTCACTCACAATACACAGATAATGTACACTATTCACTCAAGAGTACATGCCACACGAATATTTTTTACTCACAGTACACAGAGTACTAACGCTATTCACCCACAGTACAATACTATGAACACTATTCACTCAAAATACATAGAAAAAGAACACTATTTACTCACAATACACCGATTACGAACACTATTCACTCATAATACATAGAGCACGAACACTAATCACTCTCAGTAACCGATCAGGAACATTATTTACTCACACTACACAGTAGGAATACTATTCACTCACAGTACACAGAGCAAGAACACTATTTACTCACTGAAAACAGATTACGATCACTATTCACAAACAGTACACAGACCATGAACACTATTCACTCACAGCATACAGAGCACGAATACTACTCACTCACAGTACACAGACCACGAACACTATTTACTCAGAGTATACAGACCACGAACACTACTCACTCACAGTACACAGACCATGAACATTTTCCACTCACAGTACACAGACCAAGGACACTTCACTCACAGTACACAGCACGAACACCATTCACTCACAGTACACAGACCACGAACATAGGTAAACACAGTTACAGTCTCTGTGTAAAGAAGGTTATCTTAGAAGCTGAGCAGCGGAGTTGCAGAATCTGTTATGAGAGTGACGTACTCCGCCACTACCTGAGAGAATGTGAACACGTGAAAGACATTAGAAATATGTGTAGAATAATAAACCCCACATTGTTCGAGTTAGGAAAACACTATTTGTCAAATATTGTTACTGTTCTTAAAAGATTTCCCCATTTTACACCCGCAAGATAACGTATGATTTTAAAGGTTGACAGATGTTAATCTTCCTGTTTGAGAAGCTGTTCACTTGAGACAGTTAAGCAAGTCCCAGCTGTGTCTGGGTACAAGTAACAGGATGAACAACCCAGCGGGTTTTCTTCCTATTGGGGAGTGTTGTACATGCTGCTATGGCGGTATGTCTTCTCACAGGATGAGTGGCGCTGCCCAATAAACTCGTCCCTCGGGGTAAAATTTGGAATTTTAATTTAAGGTTATCATAATTTTTCTTTACCTTGCAGGAACATTGTTCTGGACCAATTTGTGAACAAGAACCTCACCTCAACCATCCTACAGAAGATCACTGATGACTTCATCACCTTAAGGAATGCCGGCATGAAGGTATGTTGAGCTCAACACAAAATATGGTGAACTGAACACAATATGTTGAGCTGAACACAATATGGTGAGCTGAACACAATATGTTGAGTTGAACACAATATGTTGAGCTGAACACAATATGGTGAGTATAACACAATATGGTGAGCTGAACACAATATGGTGAGCTTAGCAATATGGTGAGCTTCACACAATATGGTGAGCTTAACACAATATGTTGAGCTGAACACAATATGGTGAGCTGAGCACAATATGGTGAGCTTAACACAATATGGTGAGCTGAACACAATATGGTGAGTATAACACAATATGGTGAGCCGAACACAATATGGTGAGCTCAACACAATATAAGGTGAGCTGAACACAATATGTTCAGCTGAACACAATATGTTGAGCTGAACACAATATGGTGAGTATAACACAATATGGTGAGCTGAACACAATATGGTGAGCTGAACACAATATGGTGAGTTTAACACAATATGGTGAGCTGAACACAATATGGTGAGCTGAACACAATATGGTGAGTATAACACAATATGGTGAGCTGAACACAATATGGTGAGCTGAACACAATATGGTGAGCTGAACACAATATGGTGAGCTGAACACAATATGGTGAGCATAACACAATATGGTGAGCTGAACACAATATGGTGAGCTGAGCACAATATGGTGAGCTGAACACAATATGGTGAGCTTAACACAATATGGTGAGCATAACACAATATGGTGAGCTGAACACAATATGGTGAGCTGAACAAAATATATTGAACTGAACACAATATTATGAGCTGAACACAATATTATGAGCTGAACACAATATTATGAGCTAAACACAATATGGTGAGCTGAACACAATATGGTGAGCATAACACAATATGGTGAGCTTAACACAATATGGTGAGCTGAACACAATATGGTGAGCATAACACAATATGGTGAGCTGAACAAAATATGGTGAGCTGAACACAATATGGCGAGCTGAACACAATATGGTGAGATTTTCTTGTAGTAAAGATGATGGAGAGGATCAGTTGAAGAAAAAGTTGTAGAAATGCTAAATATTGAGAGTTATAAGAGTACCTGAGAGTGATATAACAGTACGATTGTGACCATTCTCACAATCGACTTGAGAATGGTCCAGGACGGACAGAAACGTCGCCGTCCCTTCACCTTCCAGTGTGTGGTCTGGTCAACATACTTTAGCCACGTTATTGTGACTCATCGCCTGTATGCAGAAGGCCTATTGGCCCATACTAGGCAACTCCTATCTATAACCACCCAATCCCACTCTTATACATGTCCAACCCATGCTTGAAAGAATCGAGGGACAACACCTACACCGCGTTACGCGGTAATTGGTTCCACAAATCAACAACCCTGTTACTGAACCAGTATTTACCCAGGTCTGTTGATACTATTTTTTGTTGATACTTTTAATACCCCAATAATATTTACTTCATTATGCCATTCATCCCCTTATACACGTCTATCATGTCACTCCTAATTCTTCGCCTTTCTATAGATTGTAATTTAAGCTTTGTCAATATTTTTTCATATGACAAATTTCTAATTTGGGGAATTAACTTTGTCATCCTATGCTGGATACGTTCTATGTAATTTATATCCATTCTATAGTACGGCGACCAAAACTGAGCTTCATAATCAAAATGGGGCCTAACCAGAGCAAGATATAGCTGAAGAACAACACCAGGTGTCTTGTTACTTCACTTCAATTAATAAATCCCAGTGTCCTATTGGCCTTATTACGAACATTCATGCATTGATCTTTTGGGTTTAAATTCTTACTAATCATAACTCCCAGATCCCTTTCGCAATCCATTTTCGGAATCTCAACACCCTCTAACTCGTATCTTGTAACTCTATCATCATTACCTAACCTCAAAACCTTACATATATAAGCATTAAACTGCATCTGCAAATCTTTTGACTATTTAAAAACTCTATATTTCAAAACGAATTGAAGTGATAGTGAGTCCTTTTCGGTGCTTATCTCCCTCTCTCGATTTTTTAATCATCGGCAAATTTGCAAATATTGCTACTCAAACCTGAATCTAAATCATTTATAAATATAATGAATAACAGAGGTCCCAGGACAGAGCCTTGAGCCAAACTATGATAACCATGATATATCATATGACATGATAACCACCTACCAAATTCTAAGAGGAATTGACAGGGTGGACAAAAACAAACTCTTTAACACTGGTGGAACCTTAACAAGGGGACACAGGTAGAAACTCAGTACCCACATGGCCCACAGAGACATTAGAAATAATTTGTCCAGTTTCAGAGTAGTTAACAAATGGAATGCATTATACAGTGATGTGGTGGAGGCTGACTCTATACAAAGTTTCAAATGTAGTGTTCTATTGTGCACTGCCACACAAGGGCAGGGATGGGTTCATAAGAGATGCAGCTTAAAAATAATATAATATTGCTCAATATTCTTTAAAATGGACAAGCAAATTTTGGATAAATTGTTAGGATGTCTTTCAGTACACCTGATTTAATGAAATAGTTACACAGTTGGTGGTACAATATGTCAGGAGGTTTAAAATCCTTTACGATTTCACATTCAACAATATAGTGTTCTAGTAAATGCATTATAGGTTTATCACAGAGTTTAGACTCTGAGTATTCTGGTAGTGTCTCAGCCTCACTATGGTGAGGCTCAGCCTGGTCCGGTTAATGTGTTGACCATACAAATACCTATTATTACAACAGTTGTCATAGTTTTTAATACTGCATCTTTCAGGTCTCTGGGCATTTCTTAGTTTTTCTAAATCTGAATTAATTTTTTAATTTGTATGGTTCTAATAATTGCATTAGATAGTTCAAAGTCATAATCTGTGTTTTCTTTCCTGCAAGTCTCATTGGCCAATCGATCTACAAAGTCATGTTTTCCAACTCCAACATGGGACGGGATCCACACAAATTTTATACAATAGTTATTATCATTGGCAAAAATTACATTCCATTTAATATTACAAGCTACTTCAGACATGCTACTTGTCAGAGGTATGGGACGAACATAGGCTGGTCGGAGGTGGATTAAGTTAAATGCTTTAAGAAATATTAACATTTATAGAGTACCAGGCGACTTCCATGGAATAAAGAGGAAATATTTTGTGCGTTTTCCTAGAGTTCTTATTCATGTATAAAATTATATTTTGAGAGAGATGGGGGAAGAGACCTAGGAGCATTAGAGTATTCCTTTTATATATATATGCATATATGGTGTGACTAATAGGCCAAGTTGCCTAACAAGCCGAGTTTTCCTGAAATTATATATTTTTCTAGTTTTTGTTCTTATAGAATGATAAAATTTTCCATTTATATATAAATAATTTTTTTAATGTTAAAACTAAAATAAATTTGTCAAACCCAGCCTAACCTACCTAACTTAACGTAACATACCTAAGACAGTAACTAACTTTTTAATGTAATAAAATAATATTAATTGGAATAAACCAATTTGGAAAGAAATATTTTAAAATATCGAAAATTGCCTAACTGCTTGTTAGGTTATGGTGGGCTTTTCAGTTTCTTCTATCGTGCGAGATGTTGTGTCCAGTCGTGTGTGGCAGTAATGATGTCATCCAAGTAGATGTAGGTGTCTTGCATGATCAGGTTGACTGCTCGCTGGCATGTTGCCGCAGTATTGCAAAGACCGGATGGTAATCTTTCATATCTAAAATGTCCAAAAGGAGTGAACTCCAAAAGGAGTTGGCAGTTTCGGTCATATCAATTTGGTAATTGCCCTTCAACAAAACTATCTGGGATAAGTACTTTGGGTTTCCTATGCCATTTAATACGTTGTCGATACGAGGTAGAGGAAAAGAGTCTTTAATGGTAATGTTATTAAGCTTACGATCATCAGAACATAACCTGATTTTACCTGAGGTTTGGGAGTAACATGCAGGGTGAAGGTCACGGGGACTCACAGGGAGTTTACCCTGAAGTTTGGGAGTAACATGCAGGGTGAAGGTCACGGGGACTAGGTCACGGGGACTCACAGGGAGTTTACCCCCCTGAGGTTTGGGAGTAACATGCAGGGTGAAGGTCACGGGGACTCACAGGGAGTTTACCCCCCTGAGGTTTGGGAGTAACATACAGGGTGAAGGTCACGGGGACTCACAGGGAGTTTACCCCCCTGAGGTTTGGGAGTAACATGCAGGGTGAAGGTCACGGGGACTCACAGGGAGTTTACCCCCCTGAGGTTTGGGAGTAACATACAGGGTGAAGGTCACGGGGACTCACAGGGAGTCGCTAATCCATTATCAACCAGGTTCTGAACTTATTCCTTCATGAGTTCAGTCTTGTGAAGACTTGTGCTGTAGTGGGGTTGTCGGACTGGTCCAGTTCTGGTGATAGTTGGAGGTCGTGGTACACCAGGCTGCACTTCTCTGGACTGTCTTGGAATACCTTGTTAAAGTTCGTGAATAAATCCAACAGTGGAGCGCTGACTTAGCATCTATGTTTTGAAAATATGAAGTCAAGTTATTCACAATTTCATTATTATTTAAATCAGAAAATAGTGTTTCTCCTGCACTATCATAAACACTTGAGGCTTTGACCCGGTAAGTGTCACTTACCTTAAAATAAGACCTACAATGAGGCTTTAGAGTATGAAATGTCTGTAAGTGAGAATGAACCCCTGAACACAACACCATAGGAGTAGTACCTGCACTTACCTGATTCTGCTTAAGTAAATTAACACGGCATAACTGCATCTTACATCGCTGGTCAGGTGTGTCTAGGATATAGTTATTAGTATTCTTACATTTTTTAATCCCTTAATTATTAAACTTTAATCGTTTAATGATCCGCCTGCCATTTACGGCGGTGGGGGGGAGGGGGGGGGACCCAAATTGCGTCTATAAATAACTCTACAGATGTCCGGCGGGACGCATGTTGCCTCCAAAATGAAAAGTGTTTTTAAAATTCCATTTATTGTTCGATTAATATCAATAGTT